TACTGTGGTGACCATATTTCTCTCCTATCCATTCTGATTGTACAACCCCCTTTGTCTGATAACAGCACCCCCTTTCCTATGGTAAAATTGTCCCTCAGTCTATATGGTCCTGGTGGAAGAAGGAAGCTTTTTCTTTTAGCTTCCAATTACCCAACTATAGGGAGATCTAGGTTGAACCATTCATAATCCTGGATCTCACTGAACAGAGAATAGCCCAAGGAGTATGGTGAGGAGAGAGAGAGAAGGAGGAGGAGGAGGAAGAGGTCATTTAGGACTTAGAACCTGTAGAACAGAACACAACTGAAGTCAGTTCTACTCCCAGGACAGGAGGGTGTGTGTGTGTGTGTGTGTGTGTGTGTGTGTGTGTGTGTTGGGATTATAGATGATTTATGTTTTCTGTGGCTTTGAATTTTTTTAAATAAAAAGAGAAAAATGCAAACAGAAAAAATATAAATATATTCCAACAGAAGGAATTCAATGTTGCGATTCAATACATGCTATTTATACTATGAAGCCAATATTATTAATAATAATGATGATAATAGTAAACAAAAATAGGAGGGAAGAATCTCACAAACGTAATGTTGAGCTAAGGAAGTCAGACCCCAAAGAGGGCATGCTTCATGATTCCATCAATATAAAGGTCAACAACAGGCAAAATCAATTTATCAGAAGCTGTGTATCAGAAGTCAGGAGAGTGATTACCCTTGGAGGAGCATACTAGGAGGGCATAAAACATAGACTACTAGGTGGATGGCAATGTTCTGTCTCTCATCTGGCTGCTGGTAACAGGCATGCATGCAGTTTGTGAAAATGGATTTAGCTGGGCATTGGTGATTTGTGCACTTTCTTGTTTGTATGTTATACTTCAATGAAATACTAACTTTTTTTTTTTTTTTAGACAAACCTTGTCCTGAATCGCCTACATCAATTGTTCAGGAAATATGGCAAAGTTGTTCTGGTGTGCTTAGAGGAAGTATCCCATACATTTGTTGTATTTCACATCTTCTTTTTTAAATTCCAAACTAGTCCTTATTGGTTTGAAAATTAATGACTTTTACACTTGCATTCTTCAGTGCTTCTTTGTTTTTGCAATTCTCAGCACAATGCTTCTGCAACCACCCTTCTTACAAGTTGCTGTGGCATTCAGGGCATGGTTTTCTGGACCTTGCCCGTGATTCACATTCTGAAAGGGTAAAGAGAAGCCAGCCAGCTCTGCTTTCTCCAAATGATAACATAGGCATCCTCAGTGGTTTATGGAAGGAGAGAGCAGTAATTACTGAGCTGCACATATGTAAACGTTCCCAGATTTTAGATGTAATGTATGTAAATGTAACTAGTCCAACAAAATGTTATTGTTTTAATAACTTGCACCAGTTTCCTCTTTGGGAGTAAGTTATCTTTTATTGGGCAGAAGTTCCCTAATACATCTCTGTGATGGAAATCAAGATCCCTAGGGTCTGGATGTTTGCTGATTTCAGGATTTTGGAGGGAAAAAAAAAAGGCAAAATGGCTCCTCATAAAAATGGGGGAGGAATGGATTGTGGTTCTTTGGAGTAAAAGAAGCTAAGAGAGTAAAGATAGTTCAGGAAAGATGAGTGGATGTCCTTGGTAGTGTGGAAGGATATTTTAAAAATGGAGATACTAGCGTATTTTATTTCATTTCTTGAATTAATCTGATATGAATCCTAACTCTTAACTCCACTGATCAATGGTTGCCCTGTGTGAAAGAGATTTTGTGGCTCCTGAAAACAGGGTTGAGTTTCTCATGACTATTGACATCACCCATATTATCAGAGAACAGAGACCAGAGAAAGAAGGAGCTCAGGAGGCAGATGAGGCCCCAAGGAATGAGTCACTGGGTGTCTGTTGAGTAGTGGGATAGGCCTTTAACTTCCACAGCCATGGAAATGCACAGGTCATGGAACTGGCGGGGAAGGAGGAGGAGGTTCAGACAGGAAATCCAAATGACAACTGAGTTACATAAATGTAAAAGTGAGTTATCTTGAAATCATGCTTCTTACCACCTTGTAAGTGGAATTTTGCAGTACTTTTTTTTTTTTTTTAACTCATCACAGATTTGAGAGTTTATGACATGTACCACTCCTTGTGCTAGGTGCTAGGGATACAGTGTTCAACAAATCAGACATGGTTATGGCTTTTGTTTAGACTTATGGTCTAGCACAGGCAGCAGAAATAAATAAATTATTATACAAGTGTTGTGTCCAATACAGGAAGTCAGGATTCTAGGGGAGTCTGTAATAGGAAGTGCAGACTTCATCTGGGGGAAAAAAAATAACAATATCTCAGGGAAGAGGATTAAGAAGGCAGGCTATGTCAAGTTGCCTTAAAGATGAATAAAAAAAGAGGCATCTGGGTGGCTCAGTTGGTTGAGTGTCTGCCTTCAGCTCAGGTTGTGATCTTGGGGTCCTGGGGTCGAGTCCTATGTGGAACCCAGGGTCGGGCTCCAATAAAGAAAGGCATAAAAAGATAGAGGCACTCAGGTGATATACAAACCCAACCTGGCTCATCTCAGTCCATTTTAACTAGTCTTTATGTAAAATATAAAGGTGAGTGTAGTGAATTCAGGTGTTACATTTAATTAGTTAAGAAGTGCTCTCAAGGGCGCCTGGGTGGCTCAGATGGTTAAGCGTCTGCCTTCGGCTCAGGTCATGATCTCAGGGCCCTGGGATCAAGTCCCGCATCGGGCTCCCTGCTCCTTGGGAGCCTGCTTCTCCCTCTGCCTCTCTCTCTCTCTCAGGAATAAATAAATAAAATCTTAAAAAAAAAAAAAAAAGAAGTGCTCTCAAGGGGTGCCTGGGTGGCTCAGTTGGTTAAGCGACTGCCTTCGGCTCAGGTCATGATCCCAGCGTCCTGGGACTGAGCCCCCCCCACGTCAGGCTCCCTGCTCAGCGGTGAGCCTGCTTCTCCCTCTCCTTCTGCCTGCTACTCTGCCTGCTTGTGTTTTCTCTCTCTCTCTCTGTCAAATGAATAAATTAAAAAAAAAATTTTTTTAAAGAAGTGCTCTCAAGTTTTGTAAGTAATCCCTCTGAAAAGTTATTCAAACTAGTAGCTTTTTCTTTCTGGAAACAAAAATGTCATTTAAGAAGTGGTTAGAGAGCCTCTACTTGATAGATGTTCAGAATATATGACGTAAGGAGTGTATGTTCCCAGATGCGACATACAGCAGCCACTCGAGTTGGGTACTAGAAGAGAGAATCGTCCCCTTCTCGCATTCCATCATGTACCCATAAATGTTCTCAATGTGGATAATGCACTTTCAGCCTTTTCAGGAGGAAAAGTGGCTGTTTTGTTTTCTGAGTGTAATAAAGCATCTGACTTCATTTTTTGATGTTTGCCAGGGGCTCTTAAGTCTCAGCCTTCCCTCGTTCCTGTCTGCTCCGCATCTGAGCAAGTTGGTAATAAAGCCAGTGCCCCCTCCTGTGGGCATACTGGCAGATTCAAACCAATCAAAGCCTTGTTCACACAGCGGGGGGCCTTACACCAGCCCACTCCTGGGTCACAATAACAAACCCGTGCCAGTCACCTTTTCCTGTACTCTGGAGCTCATTTTCAGACCAGCTGGGAAGCCTGCCCTGCTCCCTCCAGAAAGTTGATTATATGAATAAGAAACCTTTTCAAAATCCTTGGTGTGCGTGTGTAATGTCCTCAGTCTCTACATCTCAACCACATGTTGGGTGGGGGTCCATCCTGTTTCTGCAGAGTGGCTGCAACGCTGACTTTCATGCCCATTGGCTGTGTCCCAATCTCTTAAGTGAGTCTTTGCTCCAAAACCATGCTCTGTGCTCCATACTGTGATTCTGCGGTCTAGGCTTTGCAAACCACATCCCTCCTTTGCCACTTCTCCTCCCAGTAGGCTCTAGAAACAGCCATGGTCTGGAGGAGAGTGAAGGGGCTTGTTCCTTCTGGACCGCTAACTTTTCTCACCAGCCTAGCTTTAGCGGTGACTCCTCCCCATGTAGCAGCAGTTAGCTCTAGCTTCCAGACTTGCCCCCACACCAAGAACCAGTTCTGTCAGGTACCCTTAGAAAGACCAGTTCCAGCCAGGCTGTTCTTCTTGGAGATCAAAGTCATAGCTCCATGAAGCTCCCTCTCCAACCTCCTGATATCCCAATACCAGCCGGCCAGCACCCTCAAGACCACTTCTCTATGCTTCAAGGTATGAATAATCCCAACCTCCTCTTTGTTCCTCAAACCTTGGCACCTACTTCCTTCAGTTACTCCTTTATCATCTCATTTATTTTTTTTCCCTTTTCCTTCTTAATTCCCTCTATTAGATTGTCTCTGTTCAAATGACTGGTATGGTTTCTGTTTTAATTTGATCCTTCCTACTACAAACTGAAACTTGTTCTAATGGACGAGGCTACTTTGTTCCAAACTTTGGAAATAGTCACCTATCTCTGCCTCATAGATTTGAAAGAAGAGCTTGGATCCCTTTGGATTTCCTGCTTCCAACTGCTAAGAACACCTGCCAGTGTGCTTTGGGTCAGCCTCCTAGAGATGAGCCCAAGGTTCCACTCCTGACCCTTTTTCCTCTGCTTTCCATTCTTTGTTTGTGAGGCAGGAATATTTTCCATACAGCTGACTAGGTGAGTACAGTCAGATGTAATTCTCCCCACATTGGATCTGAAGTCATAGGCGTGGTGAGCAGGTCATTAGGAGGACCTCTCTTTAACATCAGATGTCAGCCACATTCTCTAATCTTGCCTTAGAAAGGACACCCACGAGTTAGAAATTGTTAATTCTCTGTTATTATTGGCTCCACATTTGACTCCTTGTTTTTCTTTCCAATGCTTGTTATAACCTAGAAAAGGAGAATATTAAATGAGTGGTACCCTTAATTTCCAACAGGCAAAATAATAGTAAAAATCAAACAGAGTGAAACTAGAATAGTACCCCCAAATACATGCAACAACTATAATCTCTGGATGATTTTACTTTTTAAAAAAGCATTTATTTATTTATTTTAGAGACGGAGAGAGAGAGAGCACGAGTGGGGAGAAGGTTAGAGAGGGGCGGGGGGAGAGAATCCTCAAGCAGACCTCCCCACTGAGCTCAGAGCCTGACTCGGGGCTCTGTCTCACGACCCCGAGACCATGACCTGAGCTAAAATCAAGAGTCAGCCGCTTAACCGACTGAGCCACCCAGGCGCCCCTCTCTAGATGATTTTAATACTTTTATCTTTTATATCTCTCTTAATTTCCACTCTATGGAACTTGCATTTTATATTTGTTTATAATTTTTTTTTTAAAAAAGAAACTAAATTGAGAGAAATTACACTATGGGAGGAAAAATTAAACTCTCAAAAGCATGAGGTTTATATCAAGTCATGTTGCCTCAGCCATGCCCTCAGTTTCTTGTGTATCCTCCTGGCCAAGAGGAGAAATAATGGTCCAAAGAGTACAAGAGGAAATTAACCCAAGCAAAGGCACATAAAGGGCTCATTTAAGAAGCATAAGCAAAAGAGAATGATCAGGTAGGAGATGGAAGGAGATGTGAGCCGGACAAATAAGGGTAAAGCAGAGGGAAGAAAGAGCCCAGGGTTTGCATGCAGTTGCATCTGATCCACCACCATCTATGGAGATTTCCTCAGAAAAGGAGGTTGGCTCCTGGCCCCAGCTGGCAGCTTCTCCAATCTCGCTCTCCTGTCAGACATCTGTCAGCACTCTGTGAGGACCATTGGAAATCAAGGCCATTCACAGTTTGTCTTGGACTCTTCAAGTCTTCCCACCCCTACTGGCTACTGGAAGGAAAGGGGAAAAAAGTTATAAGTTTCTCTAGCCACAGTGAGAATGGCCAAAAAAAGAAAAGAGAACAAGACGGCCTTAACAAAGGAGACGTGTTCCCAGGATGCCTCATTGTCAAAGGCTCCATTCATTCATTCATTCCCCCAAATATTTATTGAGCATAACTGTGTGCCAAGCATGGCAGTCAGTACTGGTGACACATTATTTAATGTCGACCTGAGCAAGCTGTTCTTTATCTTGCTTCACGTTCTTCCCTCAAAGGAAGTACAGCTCCTTGGCCCTCAACCACTTCCACCCCTCTGAAGGTGTTCCCTTTCCCCTGAGAGCAGAGTATAAGGATTGTACCTAATATATGCCTAGATATCTGGGGAAGGGGAAACAAGACAAGGGGACTCACCTTCAGTTGACTATCCCAAAGGGGCACATATCTAATGAGCGATGTCTTCACCTGCTTTCAGCTGACTCGGAAACTTTAAGCTCAAGAACATATACTTGAACTAGGTGTCATTCTTCAGAAGTACATACGTGCATAAATGCTTTTTACATGTTGGTGTTTTGTTCATGCTACTTTTTTCTGTATTTTCCTTTATCATTTTTCTATTTGCTGGCAAGCTCCTACTCAATTTTTTCTTTTCCTATGAAATGTTCTATATCCTATATACAGGTATATACATCTAGGGGTACCTGGGTAGCTTCTTGATTTCAGCTTGGGTCATGATCTCAGGGTTGTGAGATCAAGCCCCATATCGGGCTCCACACTAGGCTTGGAGTCTGCTTGGGATTCTCTCTCCCTCTCCCTCTCCTGGCCCCACCTCTCTCTCTCTCTCAAAATATATATATATATATATATCTAATGTGTGTAGATAGATGATGATGATGATGATAGATAGATAGATAGATAGATAGATAGATAGATAGATAGATAGATAGAAAGAAAGAAAGAAAGGATAAAGGAGTACTAAGGAAACAACCATGTTTACTCCACTCAGCTTCAAAAAGAGAACATTACAGAACCTTTCAAGCTGTGTGCCATTCCCTATATGCATTCCATTATCCCTCTCCCAACCTCCAGAGTTAACCACTATTCTGAATTTTGTTTTTATCAACTATCCCTTGTTTTTCTATACTTGATTTTCTACAAATGTATGCCTCAGTTTACTGTACCTGTTTTATACATAAATGGAATCTAAAAAATCGCTTCTCGGCCTTTTGGCTAAGATCAAGTGTAGTATCTGTTCTTAATCAGTTTAATAAATGGAATCTAAATTAATCTGTGTTGAATTTTGCACTGTTTACTTTTTTTATTTCTGCCATATAATATTCCAGTGTAATAATTATATTAAAATGTATCCCTTCTACTGACTATGTGAATTTGAAATTTTCATGGTTTATTACTAGTAAAATCAATGTTGCTGGAAACATTCTTATAGAATGCCTCGTACTATACACATGCAAGTTTCTCCTAGGCTATATTCCTAGAAATATAATTGCTGAATTTAGGGTTTTTAAAATTTGGTGGCTGACACCAATTTATTTTCAATGTGTTTGGTTCAATTTAAATTGCATTAGCATGATATGAGAGTTTCTGTCGCTCCATGCCCTTTACAGCAATCAATATTGTTAGGCTTTTTTTTTTCACCAATCTCAAGGGAATGAAATTGTTTTATTTTATTTGGCATCTCCTTTATAAATGATGAGAATAGGCATTTTTGAAAATGTTTATTGTTCGTTGTGTTTCTGCTTTCATGAAATACCTGTCCACATCTTTGTTCATTGTTATATGTGGCTACATGCTCTATAATCTTTATATTTTAGATACTAACACTTTTTATTGCTGTGAAATGTCACAGATACCTTTTCCAAGCATGTGGCTTGTATTTTCACTCTCTTTGTGATGACTGTTGATGAATAGAAATTCTTTTTTTTTTTAAGATTTTATTTATTTGCCAGAAAGAGAGAGAGGGAGAGTACAAGCAGAGGGAGTGGCAGACAGAGGGAGCGGGACTCAATCCCAGGACCCTGAGATCATGACCTGAGCCGAAGGCAGACAGACGCTTAACGACTGAGCCACCCAGACACCCCGATGAACAGAAATTCTTAATTTAAGAAATGTAGTTAGCTTTATCAATCTTTCCCTTTTTGATTTGTACTTATGTATCTTTTTTCATATTTTTATACTTCAAAGTCACATATATATTCCCCTTTTTTAAGATTTTAAATTTTTAATTGATTTTTACATATAGTCTAAGGAAATGTGTCCTTTTGTTTTTCCAGTAGCCAGTCCCATTTACTAACTATCCATCCTTTCCTCCATTGTTCTGCAATGTCATTTTTGTCATATACTTTTTTTTTAATGAGAAAAACTAGAGAAATTTTTTTTTTCAGTACGTACCCTCTTTAATACCCATCACCAGGCTAACCCATCCCCCACCCTTCTCCCTTCTAGAACCCTCAGTTTGTTTCTCAGAGTCCATAGTCTCTCATGGTTCATCTCCCCCTCCGATTTCCCCCCCTTCATTTTTCCCTTCCTGCTATCTTTTTTTTTTTTTTTAACATATAATGTATTATTTGTTTCAGAGGTACAGGTCTGTGATTCAACAGTCTTACACAATTCACAGCGCTCACCATGGCACATACCCTCCCCAGTGTCTATCACCCAGCCACCCGTCCCTCCCACCCCCACCACTCCAGCAACCCTCAGTTTGTTTCCTGAGAATAAAAATTCCTCATATCAGTGAGGTCACACGATACATGTCTTTCTCTGTTTGACTTATTTCACTCAGCATAATACCCTCCAGTTCCATCCACGTCGTTGCAAATGGCAAGATCTCATTCCTTTTGATGGCTGCATAATATTCCATTGTGTATATATATATATATATATATATATATATATATATACCACATCTTCTTTATCTATTCATCTGTTGATGGACATCTTGGCTCTTTCCATAGTTTGGCTATTGTGGACACTGCTGCTATAAACATCGGAGTGTACGTACCCCTTCAGATCCCTGCATTTGTATCTTTGGGGTAAATACCCAGTAGTGCAATTGCTGGGTCCTAGGGTAGCTCTATTTGTATAAATGCCTGTCCCATCACTTAGCTTTCTATTTGATTCCATTGGTTTGTCTATGCCTGCAGCAATCTGAAGTGCCTTAATTCCTGTAACTTCAAACAAATCATACTCTATGCCTAGGCAAGTTCCCTTGTCTTGTTTGTCTTTTTCGGAAATTTCTTAGTTTCTCCTTGTCTTTTAATATAAATTGCAGTATTACCTTGTCAGTTACACACACGCACACACACACACACACAAAAGAAAATCCTACAGAGATGTTGATTGGTATTGCATTAAATCTATTAATTTGGAGAGAATCAGTATCTTTAATAGATTGAATATTTCTATCTATGTATATTTCATGTTTCTTCACTTATGTAATATGTAAATTGATACAGTCATTATGGAAAAGAGTATGGACATTCCTCAAAAAATTAATCATAGAACTACATGATCCAGCAATCTCACTTCTTGATATATATCTGAAGGAAACAAAATCAGTATCCCAAAGAGAAATCTGCACTCATGTTTACTGCAGCATTATTTATAATAGCCAAGATATAAAAACAATCTAAGTGTCCATGAATGGATGAGGAAACTGTGATACATTATATATATAATATTATAGATATATATAAAATTATTTATTTATATAACATATTAATATGGTATCACAAAATATGTCATATATATTATATATAATGGAATATTATTCAGCCATGAGAAAGGAGGAAATCCTGCATTTGCAATCACATGGATGAAACTGGAAGACGTTATGCTAAGTGAAATAAACCAGAGGAAGACAAATACTATATAATCTACTTATATTTAGAATCTAAAAGACAAAATCCAAAAAAATGTTGAATTCAAAGAAATAGAGTAGATTGATGGTTGCTAGGAGTATGGGGTAGTGAAATGGGGAGATGTTGGTTACAGGGTACACACTTCCAGTTATAAGACGATTCAATTCTGGGGACTTAATTTACAGCATGGTGACTATAGTTAATAATAATATATTGTATACTTGAAATTGGTTAAGTGTTCTCTCTAAGTGTCCTCACCACACACATACACACACACACACACACACACACACAAGGGTAACTATACAAAGTGATATGTGTGTTAGTTAACTTGATTGTTGTAATCACTTAACAATGTATATGTATATCAAATAATCACACTTTATAGTTTAGATATACACAATTTTATTTGTCAGTTATACCTCAATAAAGCTGAAGTGGGCATCAGAAGAAAAAAAAGTTACTGTCCTCCTAAGAGTTGACATTGTTGTTTTATTTACAAATAGAGGTTAACCTGTATTGAATATTTTTTCTTGCATCTACTGAGATTTACTTTTATCCTTAAGTATACCAATATGATAAATATCTTAATAGATTTTACAGTGTTGAATCAATTTTGCCATCTAGATTATAGTAATGTTGGATTAGTGCTGAGTTTAGATTATGACTTCATTATACTGCATTGTTGAATATTTACTTACTAATTTTTTTAAGTTGATTGTTTTACTCCCCCTTGTACACTACTTTATGAAGTATTGGGCTAGATGATCTTCCAAACCAATCTAGAATTCAGGGATCCAGTCAATGGTACAGTTGAATGCTGAGTTCAAAAAACAGAGGGCTTCCTGGAAGCACTGGGAACTCTTAGGGAAGTCATGTGCTGGGAGTAGTAAAGAGGTGAGCTGTAGATTCTCTGTGACTGTCTAGCTGAATTCTAACACATGGGCTGGCATAGTATGAACTCAGTAACTGTTTATGAAGATAGTTAAGTTTGCCAGGAGGCTTGACCTGAGTTAGTTAGACCTGAGGTTCACTTCATAAATTGTAGACCACTAGATACAACCAAGTCATCAGTTCCTACATTGATAGCATTGGTATCTGACAAGAAACTCAACATGAACTTACTGTGTGCCTG